GCTGCTGACTCAGCGGCCAGGGCAGCGAGCGGCTCTGACTCCTGGGGAGCTGGTTAGTCCAGGGTAGCCGGCTCCGTGCGGCCGGCGCCCGTGCAGAGGCCCGCGAGGTGAGCGGAGAAGGGATGCGCAGTGACTGGATGTCCCTCCTGAAGACCGGCTGCCTCCCCCAGCGCAGACGGTCAGCGCTCGCCAGCTTTGTAGCCGGCATAACGGCCTTGTGATCACCAGTGAAGACACACAGACTGCCGGCCTTGTTCAGAGGGGAAATCCTCTCTCGGTTCCCTGCCTACAACACACCCCACTTACTCCGGTAGGGAGGCCCCATTTTACAGAAGAGTCTGGGAGGTGTAGGCTGGGCGTGTGCCCTCCAAACTGGCTTGTTGGCTGCCTGCTGGATTCGTTCCAGGAGGCCCCTCTTGGTTTGGGGTTTCTGAGACGAGAAGGAAGCGCCAAAGGGTTCTTCAAAGTGCTTGGGGGACTGCGGAAGAGCAGCTCTGGGCGGGCATTAAATCCCCCCGAACTGGATCGCCGATCAGACGGCGATGACATTACTCATTCAACGGGGAAAATGTAGCTTTGCAAATGGAGCTGCAGACCAGGGCTCTGCCCGGTGGACAGCCGGTCACACTCGTGTCCAAGAGATCCTGGTGGCACCGTCAGCTGTCGGAATGTTGGGCCACCTGTCCGTGTGTGTGTGCATGTGTGCATGCGCATGCAAGTGTGTCTGCACACGTGTGAGGCGAGGGTCATAATAAACACTGGCCTGTGTTTATAGAGACGAAAGGCGGGTGAGATTGGTTGTCACTCAGCTGCACCCCGGGCAGCCTCCGGGCACCGCGATCTTGGTAGCCAGCTGGTTGTCCTCTGACTTTTAAACAGGCAGAGACCCAGGCAGGTCCAGCCCCATGCAATTAGCCACAGGCCCCGTAGTTTGGGTGAAATAATGAGCCATACACAAGAGATACAGGCTTTTTGGGTTTGTTTTTAAGGATTTTCCAGAAATACAGAAATGGCCAATTTACCTTAGTAACTGCACTGGAAAGAAAGAAAAAGAAAACCTCTACTTGCGAGGTAATGGGAGGTAAGCGCACCGTAAGTCTCTGCTCCATATTAGTGACCTAGAATAAACAAAGCTTCGAGGGAAAAGCCCCAGAAGGGGGCTGAAAGTTGTTCTCACCAGTCACTTTAACTTGATGAAGACAGAGTTCCCACGAAAGGGGAATGGACAGGCGCGATTTCACTGTTTCGGAACAGAGCACCTGCAGGGGGTTGACGGTTTCTAGCCCGCGAAATGAAGTCCTCGGTCAGCCCTGCCGCCCGTGTCCGCGAAGATCCGTCCCTTGCTCTCTTGCTGGGCTTCCACTTGGGCCACCCTCCCCCCAGCCTGCTCCCTCCCACTACTGGGGACACCGCTTTGTCTTTCCAGGTACAGCTCGGCTGTCCGGCCCCTCCCCTGGCGCACTGACCACTCGCCTTCCCTGCGCAGACATTGGTCCTGGCACCTAAGGGCCTTATTTCTCTGACTCTCACCTTGGCTTTGAGCACCTAGTCTTAGTGACCTTCCTGTCCCCACTGCAGAGCACCAGAGAAGAAACCTTGACCGTGGTCCAGTGAGTCGTCACTCAAACCCTGAGCCTGGGAGTCGTCCCAACACTCCTGTCCCAGCCCCACAATGTGTCCCGCTCAGGCTCAGTGTCAGTGTCGCTGAACTCTGAGTCAGCCCGTCCCCGCCTGCGCTGAGCACCTGCCCCCTCTCGGTCACCAGGCTGCGGTCACCAGGCTGCGGTCACCCGATCGCTCAGGCTGCTGCCTCCAGCTCACTCCTGCCCGCCCAGTGCCTTCTGAACAGCCGCGGAATCACCTTCCATCAATACCGGGTCTCCTGCTAAAACCCCGCGTGGCTCCCAACCTTTCCCTCCGCAGGAGAGTTTCTTCACGGGCCCGCCACGTCCTGGAAGAGGCCTGCGAACCCCGTGTGCATGGCTCCCGATTGCCACGCACCGTAGCACGGCTCAGGTTCTGTCCGAGCCCAGTGCCCATGCAGAGGCGTCTCGGTCAAACCCCACAGGCGGTGGCCAGGTGTACGCTGGGGCACCCACTACTGTCTTCGTGCGTCTCGCTGCAGGCCTGGCTTCACTGGTGCACCAGAGCACCCTGCTCCCCCTGCCAAGGCCTCAGTGTGCCCTCCACTGAACCCTCTGCCCGGATCCTTCCACGCCCGTTCTTGTGCTCATTCCAGTATTCCACCCTCCCCCACCCTGGGCGGGGCCTTCCCGACCACCCAGGCCCCTTTGCCGTGGGCCGCGGTAAGTGTTCACTGTCTGCAGAGCTCTTGCCTGTGGCTGTGTTGTTAATGACCCACCCCTCCCTCAACACAGGAAGTCTCCTGGTGGCAGGGTCTTGTCTGTGTTTTTTCTTTTGAGCATCTCCTGGTGACATAGTAAGGGCTCAGGAAATGTAGAAGGACGGAGGAAGCAGTGGGAGGGAAATGAATTTTGGACTGGCCTCGTGGGAAATGGGTAGCTCTTGTCAGGGCTCCCCAAATACAGATTCTGCACCCTGGCGTGGTCCGCGGTTAAGAGCAGGTGTGACGGGGCCAGGCAGATTCGGGCTGAGACCCCACTGCCCCCTCGGGAGGGGCACGCTCTCCCCTCTCCCTTGCCACGTCCTCCCAAAGTGCCGAACGGGGTTCGTTATGCGCGAGAGCGAAGTGGGGAGCCATGAGCAACACACCCGTTTGCTCTCAGACAGCTCCCCTTCTCTTGGGCCAGAAAGGGCCCCACCGTCCACCAGGTGGGCTTGGTGCAGTCAGGAAAATGCCGAGTCACCCCGGCCCACATGCAAAGCTTTCCCGAGGGGGCCACCCGCGGGGAGCCCTCTGAGACTCAGAGCTGCTGGGCTTGCACCTCAACGGCTGCTGAGGCACAGCAGGGGGATGAGGGCCCAGAAAACGGAACAGCGGAGAAGCCGAGCAGCTCACATCGGCCTTGGTTTCCTTTTGGAAACAAAATCAAAGCTTCAGTGTGGTATCAGGTACTCTAAGGAAACAAACTGCATAAAAAGCTCACAAAACTCATTTCCAAGAGTAGACCACACGTACAATTGCCTTGAGATGATAACAGTGTTGCAAATGCAATTTTGTAACATTTTGATTCCCTCGGACCACCATCCGTTTGTCCATGTTGGCCTCACCCTGAACTTGAGCGCCCCTGAGGAATGCCAGGCCAGGCTTGAGTCTGACCCTTCGGAGGAGGTTCTTTCTCCCTGCCCGGAGTGGGCTCTCCAGCCGGCACGTCGGCTTGCTCAAGACCTTGACGCTCATTTCCTAGAGTGTTGCTGGGGATTTCCTGAGGCCCTGGGCTCTGGGTTGGCCCTGTTGGAGCTACAGCCAAGGGGATTGGGGACTCTCGTGGGGATGCTAACTTCCTTGCTGTCATGGCCCAGTGTCTTTTCAAACACTGGGGACTTTTCCCCTTAACTGGCAAAGTTCTGATTTCTTTTCCCTCTCCCTTATTTCTTTAAATCTTGTCTTTGAAGATAAGTAACGGTGCCGTGTTTTTCTGGGTTGAAGTGACTGGACAGGGTACAAGCTCAGCCACCGTCGTCTCCACATTGTACAGTAGCTGTGTCACATTTCCCCAGACGGGAAGACAATCTTCCTGTCCCTGTCTGTAGCCCACCTTCTTGGGTATTCCTGGAGAATTCTGCACATCCTCAAGCCGGGAATTCTTCAGTGGCCCCACTGGAGTGCTTAGGGAGGGGGACACGCCCAGGCGGGGGCCATTCATGGAAGCAAGGCAGGGTCTTGGGGATCGCAGGTCACCCACTTCGGCTCTGCAGTCCTGAGCAAGGCTGCGGAGTTGCCTGTGTGCTGAGGCTCAAGGGAGTGGGTGTGGCCGCTCTGCAGGTGTAAGGGAGTGGGTGTGGCCGCTCAGCAGGTGTTACAGAAGGCGAGCCGGCTGCCCTGAGCACCCAGGTGCAATGAGCACCCAGGAACATTTTTGCCAGACTCTTGGCTAATTGATGGGTCTGCGAGCCTCGTGGGAACTTGAATTATTGCAAAAGGCTAGGCACTGTTTTTTTTGTTTGTTTGATTGTTTGTTTTTTATCCTCACCCGAGGATATTTTTCCATTTTTTGTACAGATAGAGTGGGAGGGAGAGAGAGGAAGGGAGAGAGAGAGAAACATCGACTTGAAGGGACACATCGAGTGGCTGCCACCCGCACGACCAACCAGGGCCAGGGACAAACTACAACCGAAGTACGTGCCCTTAGCGGGAACCGAACCCGGGTCTCTCCGGACCGCAGGCCGACGCTCTAACCGCTGAGCCAAACCGGCCAGGGCTAGGCACTGTTTTTAAAAAGACATGTAAGTGTGCCACCTGTCAGCATCTTTGGGGTTCGTAATACTTCCATCGGAAAACACTCCAGATTTGTGGTTTTCCACACCGTGGACTTGCTCAGCCTAAGGAATCTAGGCTGACGTTTCTGTTGTGCTGTCTGTTACCTTCGTGACTTCGGAAGGGACGACCCTGACGTTAGGACGGATGAGGTGCTGAGCGACACCAGTGGGGGGCTCGAGTGTTAGCTCCTCCCCCGGGAGATTCCCTTCTGCCCAGAGGCTCCAACACCTGGCGTGGAGGTACTGTGTGGGTGGGGTGACTGACACCCAGGGCCTTGCAGCCAGGGCGAGACCCCGACACGGCCCTCGGCACACCACCGCTGTTTCCAAAGGAAGCACGCGCAGGGGTCGCTGTCCACCAAGTACGTTCAGTGCAACCTTGCGCCTCGTGCCCGTAGCTCACTGTTGTCAAGACCTGCCTGTCGGTCGTCGATTTCAGTGGTGTGTGAGTACCCGCCCAGTCCCACAGTATTTGTGACAGTCCGGGCTCAGAGTAAGGGTCAGGAGCAGAGAGTGTGTGCTGAATCCCCTGTAATGCTTCTCTTGAAGTGTGTGACATCCAAGCCTCCTGAAATGAGTCCTCTTTCCCTTTCTTCCAGACAACCTGTTCAAGCCCAAAGAAAGGTGCATTTCGGAAAAGGAGATGCGCATGCGGTCTAAGAGGTACCTGGCCGACGGGGTGGGAGCGGGTGGGGGGCTCCACGGGTCCCCACGCTCTCCGGCGGGGCCAGTCTCCAGGCCCACGTGGAAGGCCCGAGGTCCCCTTGGCCGCGGGTTTGAGCAGCTGGCACAGAGCAGTGCTGTCGTCAGAACGCACCTCTGCATGCTAATGCCGTTCTTGGAACATCCGTCGGAAAGTGGCGGGTCTTGGATTCCGAACCGATCCAGTAATTGGTCTCTGAGAGATCTCCAGCCTCGCAGCGGGGCACTTCGGCGTGTCCCCACCGCCGCGCTGGGCAGGCGCCGTGTGTCACTGGGTGCCTTTGGAGGTCACTTTACGAGCGGGAGAGACGTGGCTGCTCTGAGGGCCTGGTGCTGGCAGCGCCGGCGGAAAGGACCGACACTTGGAGGCAGATGGCACCGGGGAGCCAGGGAGGCCTCCGAGGGCCACGGGCCGGCCTCCCGGGCGGGCTGGGCAGCCCACTGCCAGCCAACTCGCCCTGCTCTGCTCGGCTGGTTGCTACTCTAGACGCCCGTGAATTCTCACCAACCCGCTGCACACAAAGGCTGCCATTCTTCCTAGGACCTGGCCTCCTGATCGAAGTGTAATAACTCAGCAATGTTGGCCAAGCTCACGCAAGCAAAATGTCATTAATTTATAATAAAGTATCTAGCCCTGGGAAGAATTATAATAATTAAACCGAACCGAGAGCGCACTCAGAGCAACCACTGAATGGGAAGAGGACGTCTGCCCCCCGGCACCGATCTCGGCCCTCCCCAGACGATGTCTCCGTGCCCGCTCGCCGCTTGGATCGGCGGTAGGAAACCTCTCCGTGAAGAAAGATGTGGAGTGCGGAGAGAGGGACCGTCCCGCTAACGACCTGGCTCCCCGGCCCCAGCCAGGGTTTGAAAGGGCCACTGGGTTCTGAGGCTGCTGTTTCCGAAGTGCGAGGTTGTGTCTACCTCACGCCAAAAGTATTCCCTTTCAATTTAGGGAAAAATCCAGCCAAATCCTTCCCTCTCGGTCCCCAAACCCAAAGCTGCTATTATGGAGGCTTCCAACTAAAATAATCAATTTCAAAACAGCGTCCGTGGACAGAGCGTGCCACCCCATCATTCTCCCGGTGAGGAAACGGGGGCTCGGACAGGACGAACGAGCGAGGGGGTGGCCCCAAGTCATGGCCCCCGCCCGAGGCCAGGTGTCCAGGGAGCCAGGACGGGGTCTCCCTCTCTCCGGGGGCTGTGCCCTGGGTGGGCTCTGACCTGGCTCCGAGCCCTCGCTCCCTGCTGGCACTTTCCGTCTTTTATATTCTTTGTTATTAATTATATCGCTAGATTACATTGCATTTTAAAAGTGCAAATAATAAAGATGAAGCTAAAGTTCCTTGAGACCAACTAACCCCCTCCCCCCTCACAACCCAGCCCTGGTCCATCTCCAAAGACACCCAGTTGCCAGCCTCCTGTGTACCCTTCCGGGCCATTCTTTGCCTGAAAACTGACTTTTATTTGTACATATGCAATAATCTAACCTTTTTTTTTAATCCTCACCCGAGGATATTTTTCCATTTATCCTCAGAGTGGGAGGAAGGGAGGGAGGGAGAGAGAGAGAGAGAGACAGACAGACAGACAGACAGACAGACATCGACTGGTTGCATCTCACATGACCCCAACCAGGGTTGGGGACCAAACCACAACTGACGTACGTGCCCTTGACCAGAATCGAACCCATGACTCTTTGGTCCTCGGGCCAACGCTCTAACCGCTGAGCCAAACTGACCAGGGCCAATGATCTAACTTTTAAGCACGAGTGGGGTCAAGTGCATTTCCTCTCTCTGTGCCGGGAGAGGGGGTGTAGCTGACTTTCCCCAGAGGGGCTGCCTCTCTGCACAGCGGTCTAGACGTGGACGGACGCTCTCGTTTAGGAAGCTCGCGGGGGAACAGGCACCGGAAGCCGCGGTGAGCCGTGTCTACCTTAGACTCCCCCAGGTTCAGACAGCCGGCCGCCGGCCGAGGGGTCGGGTCCCAGGGGGTTCACTGCGGAGCTGCGCGACATTCAGCTTTCCCACAACTCCTCACAGAAAGCTCCTGGAAAAGGCAACGCGGGTTCGTTTGTCCTTTCAAACCATGTCGATGCCCACGCTGTGCCAGGCACTGTGCCAGGCACCAGAATGTCCAGGTCACTTTGTGCTCCATGTTGGGGGCCAGTGCTGTGTGATGTGAGACGGACAGAGGTTGGAAGCCCAGCTGAGGGCCTTCCCGCAAGTCTCCCGACCTCGCCGGGGCTCGGGCTCCTCGTCCCCAAACAGCAGGACACAGTGTCTCCCAGCCCCTGTGAGGGTTCAGTGAGAAAAGCCATGTTGCGCGATGAACCCAGCACCCAACGACCAAGGCAACGGCACGGGCTAATTGTGTCAGCCTCAGCATCGTCACTCTGTCATGATCGTCAAACAAAATTCGTCCGGCTTTCAGACCTGAGAAAAAATGGAAAAGAGCCATCTGGCCGCGTGCCACGTGTGCGGCGAGGCGGAAGCTCTGGCATGGTGGCCACGCCGTGCCCTGGGCTCCGGGGGACACTGTCTGCCAGTGGGAAGAGGCAGTTCTGTTAGCAGGGAGGACACATGTCCCGAAGGGGGCCCTTGGGCCCTGTGAGTAACTTGGAAGCTCCTCATTTTACTCCAGGACAAGAACATCACCCTCATATCCGAAAGGTCTTTGGACACAATGTAAGTCGGAGAGCAGCGGTGAGGAGGTGAACCACACACGCATGCGCACGTGTGTGTGCTATTCCCGCACGACCCTGCTGCTTCCATCCAACAACTGCTCCTCCCTAGGTCCCGGGAAGGCAGCAAATGGGAGGCATAAAAGTTTGGGGGCCGGTTTGCACTCGGAGTGGTGAAGCTGTTGGTTTGGAATCCCTCGTTTTACAAGGATGTTGTTAATTATCAAAGAGAACAGAGAAGCCTGGCTGGTGCGGCTCAGTGGTTGAGCGTCGACCCTGCACCAGAAGGTCACCGGTTCGATTCCCAGTCAGGGCACATGCCCAGGCTGTGGGCCCGATCCCCAGTGGGGGACGTGGAGGAGGCAGCCAACCGATGTTCTCTCTCATCCACGTTTCTGTCTCTCTCCCTCTCCCTTCCTCTCTCTCTAAAATCAATTAAGTGAAAAAAAAATAAGAACGGGGGACGGGAAAGGTGACCGCTAGAGAAACAGGCGGCCTCTCCAGCTTTGCCCCCTGCCCGGCGCTCTGCTTGTGGTGCGGGAGGCAGCCTGTCCTGGGGACTGTGGGGACCCCCGGGCTCGGGGGCGCACAGCTGCAGATCCGAGAGGCCCATCTGCAGCCAGCCTCCCTCTGAAATGGGGGCGCCCGCTGCCAGGCCGCACAGGCTCGCGGTGTGCGGCTACCATGCGGAACGTTTGCCGGGTCTGTTTCAGGATCTACAACAACTTGCCGGAAGTCAGGAAGAAGAAAGAAGAGCAGAAGAAAAGGGTGCTCTTACAGAGTAACAGGCTCCGAGCAGAAGTCTTCAAAAAGGTAACGGCCCGGCCGGGCAGGCGCGACGCGCGGCGCACGGGGCGGGCTCTGAGCCTGACGTGTCTGTCTCCCGTCTCCCCAGCAGTTACTGGACCAGCTCCTGCAGAGGAACGCAGACTAGCCACAGGCCGCCCTGCTGACTGCGCTGCCCTGGGGCCCTCCGCACGCTGGAGGAACCATTAAACTCAGCCTGATCTCCATGACGTCAGACACTTATTTTTCATTTTGATCCTTTTGTTCACCAAGGAAAACCTGGCTTCCTGAATCGCTCACCCAAAACAAGCCAAAACAATGACGCTTGAGGAAGTGGGTCAGCAGACTGGTGGGTGATCCCGGACCCACCAGGTCCCTTCTCTTCTTACTTCTGAATTTTCCCTTTTGCTTCTGGTCCCTGCCCCCCCCCCCATTTCCACTCAGGCCTTACACACTCATGTGAGGCTTAGACTTCCAGGGGGTTATTATTTGTTGAATCAGGTTTCTGGGACCCAAATCCATCACTTTTTAAATGTTAACCCCAAACTCCACCAGCTGTGCAAACCCAAACATCAGGTCATCACGTGGATGTTCAAAGTCTCTCTGGACACATGCGCCATGGAGTCCTGGAGGCTGACTGGGAATAAGTGGGTGCAATGCCAGGAGTGGGGAGCAAGCAGTCGTTTCCTGTGACCTGGGCGACTGGGCGGTGCTCACTGCCCCCCACTCTGCACCTTTCTCCACTTAGCAAAAGTCTGTTTCCATGGACGCTGTCGGGGCAGAAGCAGCTGGAAGTGAACGTGGGTCACCGGGGTGTTTCCCGCGGCCTCCCAGCCCCAGTGGCCGGGGGCTCCCAGGCCGCCGCACGTTCTTCCAATATGTACGATGTTTGCTCTTTACAAACGTGTGTTCGGGGAGCTAAGAACCAACTAGTTTTTATCAAAAATGGAAATAAATAAATGCAGTTATTACAAAAGTTCAAGTATTGCTCTGTTCGATAGTTTGGGTTGTGCACTGAACAGCTCAGTGAGGAAGGCTGCCAGGTCCCAGTGGGAGCCGCTGACCTGTCCCTCGGCCGCCTCCTAGCACCCAGGTTAGGAGCCCGTGCCTCCGATGCCCCGGAGAGAAGGCTGTCACCCAGAGAAGCAGGGATGCTGCAGAGCAAGGTTTAGGGTCCTGAAGACCCCACATCTCACTAGGAGGCTCCCCAGGAAAGAGGAAGAAGTTTTGGGGTTGAGCAGGTGATGCCCACTGCTGCCCACATGGCCCCTTTGCTGGAAACCCGATGGGTCAGGTGTCCGATGCGAGACTGTTTGTTTATTTGTTTATGTTTTAATCCTCACCCGAGGATATTTTTCCACTGATTTTTATATAGAGTGGGAGGGAGGAAGAGAGGGAGAGACAGAGAGACATCAATGTGAGAGAGACTCAGCAACTGATTGCCTCCTGCATGACCCCAACAAGGGCCAGGGCTTGAACCACAACTGAGGTACGTGCCCTTGACCAGAACTGAACCCACAACTCTTTGGTCTGCTGGTTGACATTCTAACTGCTGAGCCAAACCGGCCAGGGAATGTTGGGAGACCTGTTTAAAAACTCAGCCTCAAGTCCCCTCCTGGCACCGGCCCCCTCTGCCTGGGAAGAAGGAAAGATGGAAAGAAGGACCCCCAGAAAGCGCACCCCACCCCGGGCTGAGATCTAGATGCTGGAGGAGAAGACGTGGCTGCGGCTCAGCAGGTGGCAGAGACGTCTCTGGGAGGCACGCCCACAGGACTTGTTGAAAATGCACCCCCAGGACTTGCTGGAGGTCTGCTCTCTGGGGGACACGGGGAGCTGGCCCACCAGGGCTCTGTGCGGGCCGAGGCAGGTGCTCCGGGAAGCCCTGGCCAGGGACACGGTGCTCCGTGCGGACCTGCAGAGCCAACGGTCTTAGGCCAGGAAGCCACCCTGGTCCTCCTGCAGGCTCTCTCCAGCTCCCTCTACTGGTAGAGCTGAGCGCCCTGCCGCAGGCACAGGGAAGCCCCTGAGAGCCCGGGGTCCAGGTTAGCGGAGCGGCGGAAAGGGTGACTTGGGAGGTGAGAGAGGAGACGAAGAGCTGGCTCAGAAAGTTGCGTAGCCTTGCTGCCCTTTCCTGATCTAGCAACTGCAGACCTGGCACCTCCTCCGCAGGCTTGTCAGGGGCTGGAATAACTCAGCGCGCCGAGTGTTTGGAAGAAGGCCTGGCCCAAAGCAAGCGTAACACGTATGTTTCCTGTCACACACATGTAGATGTGGAAGCAGGGGGGGGGTGTCAGAAACCCCGAGGGGTCGTGGGTGGTTCACTGTCATGACCCCTCGGCCTGGCACCGAGGTGAGCCAGGAAGACCCTGGAATCCTGGTGTCGCTCCGGCAAGCGGGATGGGTTTATCTCAAGCTCCTCCAGCGCTTGGGAAGGGTTTCGATAGCTCGGGCCGAGCTCACCCTGCACGTTAACCCCGGCTTTCCCGATCTCGGCGTGCCTCTTCCAGGGTGTTCCGACGACTTTTGACTTTCCTTTTTAATATCTCACTGAAAAACGTTGTGAATCGAATCGATATCAGTTCAGGAGAATTTTTCTTAAAGATCCTGCCCAATCTTGTTTGTTTTGTCTCCCTTTCATATTTTGGGGGCGTTTCAAACGCTTTTCCTAACCAGTCATTTAAATTCAGGGCCCAATCACTTCTAGACTATTCTGTGACACTTCCCAAACGTTACATTCTGTCAGCTGACAGCTAAATATCTCAGAATGGAGCCAACTTGCCCGCAAAGAGTTTACCCCTTTGGCAAACCTGATACCAAGTCCTAAAATTGAAAGAATAAATAAAAGTCAACTTGAGATGAAATGCCACTGAATAATGTATGAAATGCCACTGAATAATGTATTCTCCCATTTTTTAAAAGTTTCACCCATCCCCCACAGCCCCTCCCCTTTGGCGACTCTCAGCTTGTTCTCTGTATCTCTGGATCTGTCTCCATTCTGTTCGTTAGTGAGACCATATGGGGTAATTTTCTCTCTCTGTCTGACTTATTTCATAGCATAATGGACCGCTAGGTCCATCCACATTGTTGAAAACGACAGATTTTGTTCTTTTTTATTGCTGAGTAATTTTCCATGTTTTATATAAAACACATCTATTTTATCCACTTGTCTATTCGTGGGCACTTGGGTTCCTTCCATATCTTTGTTGTTGTTAATCCTCACCCGGGGATATTTTTTCCTTTGATTTTTAGAGAGTGGAAGGGAGGGAGGGAGGTAGAGAGAGACAGAGAGAAACATCGATGTGAGAGAGACACATTGATTGGTTGCCTCCTGCACGTACCCTGGCTGGGGTTGGGGACCAAACCTGCAACCCAGGAACATGCCCTTAACCGGGAATCAAACCCTCAACCCTTCTGTGCACAGACTGATGCTCCATCCACTGAGCCACACAGGCTGGGGCTGCTTTCATATCTTGACTATTGTCAATAACACTGCAAAACTATGGGGGTGCATATATCTTTTTGAATTAGCATTTTTATTTTCTTCACATAATTACCCAGAAGTGAAAATCCTGGGCCATATGGTCCTTGTATTTTTATTATTTTGAGGAATCTCTGTACTGTTCTCCATAGTGGCTGCACCAATTTGTAATCCCCCAATCACTGCACGAGGGCTCCCTTTGCTCAGCACCCTCGCCAACACTTGCTATTGGCTGGTTCTTTGATGCAGTCCTGAATAATGTATTTCTGAGGACAGTTCTAACTGAGGCGGAAACAGGGCAGGAGTATGTGATGTCTGGCCCGAGCGGGTCCTTCTCGGGACAGCCCGCCACTCAGATGAGGCTGCCAGGGGACGTTTTGGTTTCTGCTAAACTGGTATTTTCCCTGTTGCTGTTGTGGCTGCTGCTGTTTGCTTGTTAATGCTGAGGAGTGAAATCCCCAAACCCAGCGTTCCTTTTCCGTTACCATAAAGTTACAATGGAAACACGATGATACAATAAATATGGAAGTACGAGCTGAATCATAATAGCCACCCCAGTTGCTCTCTCAGGGATTGGTCACCCATTTGCTGGGTTCTCTTACGAAAATCAGACTTCAGGGAGAACCTTCAAGTTTTGAAATTCTAAGTTGAATTTGCTGATGTAATTTCAACAATCCCATTCCGTTCCGGAGCCAATTTCTTTCCACCGGCGTGTGTTCGGGTCCAGGCACAGAGCAGTTCCTTGGTGGTCCTGCAGGGGCAGCAGGTGGAGATTTGTGGCAGCCACCAGCTCGGACCCTGCAACACTTGGAATAATTTGAAGTGGACAGGCGGCCACGGCACCAGCCTCCCTTCCTGCAGTCTCCATGGCTTCGTGTCCAGAAATTCCTATTTCGGTCATTTGTCCTCTCTGCCAGCCGGTCATGGAATAATGGAAAAACAATTGCCTTGGGATTCTGCGCCGATGTCTATTGCCAGCCACACTTCCTGGAAGCGGCGAGCGCCCCAGTGAGTCAGCAGATTCTTGCTCCGACGAAGCAAAGCGCTTTGGAAGCTCTGTTTGTGAAGCAACCCATGGTCCAAGAGCAGCTGAAAACTCGCTCCTTAAGAAATCCTCCCGTTTCCACACATGCTGGTGTCAGAATTGCAGGCCGTGGACTGGTCTCGGGCTGGGTCAGAAGGCCCCCAGCCTGCAGTGAGGGGGTCCGAGGCCGAGTGAGGGGGAGTCAGAGGCGGTACGGGCGCCCTGCGCGGGTGTCTGTGGGCCGGGTTCGCCGGCCTAGCGACGGAGTGATGGATGCACTGTGGCTCCGTGAGCCTGTTGGCCTGCACGTTCAAAGCAGCGGAAATGATCTGTGTGGTGACTCGAACGGGCCTATCAGCAGATGGCCGTGCTTTGCAGGGTCCTCGGAGCTGTACTTCCATCCCTGCTTGGTAATGACCCACGGACGTCTGGCTAAACAAACCTCTTGGAATCGGCTGTCACTGAGCCGAGCCAGCCCGCCCCAGGATGAAATGCAGTGGGAAGCGGGCCAGCCCTCCCCGTCCGTCCCAGGCTGACAGCCGTCAGGAAACTGGGAGATTCCTGGGGCCCCCCTTCTGCTCCCGGCCCGGCTGCTGGGCGGGGAGCGGCGGGATCCTCCACGCAAATGTTTTCTCCACATGGAACG